GAGCTAAAAGTAGTTTTAGTATCGTTATATTACGAGTTTTTAAGATAGAAGCTTGAAACTTTTAAGATATATATAAATTAAGAGCTGAGCAAGTTTAATTAAGATATTGAGAGTGGTTGTTTTAGTGAATTAATGTGTTATTAAAGATTTTTAACGACAAATTTTTAGTTAAGTTTTGTGTAAATGTAAATAATATTCTTGATTTTATATAAGTAGATATATTGTTAATAAAGTAACAAAAGTATAAAACTAAGGAGCAAACTACTTGTATAGTTTTTGTAGAGGTTAAACTTGTCTTGAGTAAACTTTTCTATTATATTTGACATCTAAACCAAAATGATATTTTGAAAATACAAAATAATAAGGTTGATCTAAGAAGATTAGAAATTTTAATTATTAATATATAATTGTAAAACTTACAAAAAACAATTACAAAAAAATTTCATTAGTCCACCACTTTTTACAAAATAATTTTGTCAAAAAGTAGGCTTTTAGCTTATCTTTTTCAAAAAATTAACATATATTTTTAATATAATTAGTCTTATTTATTTACTAAAACAAAAAAAGTTAAACATTTGGAGTAAGCAACTGAGCATGTTTGGATAACAATATAATAGGTTATATGTCTTGATTAAAAACTATTTAACAATACTTTGAAACTATTAATACTTTTAACTACTCTGTCTAGTTTAGTTCAGTTTAGTTTTATTTTTTAATATATTATATATTTTATTTTTAGATATATATATTATTAAGATAGAGTTAAATACAGAGCTTTTTTATCTTGTAATATATAATTTTTAAAACTTGATACAGACTTATAATTGTAATTATTAGATTCTTTTTTTTCTTATTATATTCTTTTCTCTCTTTTTAGTATTAGTATTAGAATTAGTATTTTTTTTTGTTTTTTCACTTTTCTATTCCTTAAACTGTAAGCTTTTTCAAACAAATTTGCCTGGAAAATTATCATAAATATACTTATGATCTATATTTTTTAATTTTTAAAATATTTAACTAAATTTTTTTTTGATAATATTTAAAAATAAGAATTATATTATAGCAGTTTTTAATTTTATTTTATAAGAAAAAAAATTTAAATTGCTTATAAGATAAAAGTATACCAATTTAGAAAAAAATTTTAACCAAAAAAATTATTTACTTATTCTTGATGAACTCTTTAAATATTAATTTTAAAGCTATAATTCTTAATACAATATTTTACACAAGTCGAACTAAGACATATCAGGGCAATATCAGCATACCAATAAGACATGATATGTATCCTAAAGTATACTGTCATTATTCTAATATTTTTGTCCTATAATTAACTGATATGTTTCTGATTTCAAACAGAGATTTGGCTAGTATAGGATATCTATTGAAACTATTATAAATTTAAATAAAAGAAATATTGAATAAATCGATAGGCTTTTAAATTTCATGATAGACATACCAATCATTTAATATTTCAAGAAAATCATTAACCTTAAAGACTATTATCAGTACTTTTAAGTATTTATCAGTATTACTGATATGGCTTTCGATTTAATTATATTTACAGTATAACTTTGATATAATGAAGCTCTGGAGCTAGGGTGTTTGGTTCAATATATCAAGGCTTTGGTCTACTAAGATACCTTGCTATAATGAATCTATATAGTCTTATATACTTTACAATAACGAATTTATGTCTTTGGTTTAAAATAATATTATATTCTAAACATATAGCTTGAGCCAGTTATATATATCTGCTGCCATGGCTTCCAATTCATCATTTATTGTTTACTGAATTCACAATATATATAATCAGATTATTTATGAGCTGAATTCAATAAAAATAAAGAATAAAATTGAAGTCCAAAATCACATCTTCCTTGGACAGTGCTCATTTATATAATTTATTGTAAAAGTGTGCTATTTAAATATTTTAAATATTATAAATTTATGTTTCAGGCATTTTTTGAAAGCATATATAAATATCAATTTTATTATGTGAAAAATATAAAATATTAACTAGAGCATCAATATCAACACGAATATAAATATGATCATATATAATCACATATGTATATGCATTTATTACGAATTGTTAAATATCTTTCAATATGTAATACATATAATTAGAATAAATAGTGTCCAAATTAAATACTATACTGTATGCAAACATAAATATAAGAATTATGTTATCTAATAGCATATAAATAAAACTATTGAGATAATATACAATACTTTTAAGAAGAAATTTTAAAGTCAATAGTTTCATCTTTGCCTATCAAAATTTCTAACCCAAAATTAGATGACGGTAAACCTGGTAGGCATTTCGCCTAAATAAATTAGAGTTATCACTCAACAGATAATTTGTAATCGCTGAAAATCAAACACAGAAAAATCTCCCTAAGTGCATTCTCAAATTGCAGCTGAATATATACCTGACCTCTATAAATTACTTTTCTTATTGCTTTTTAAATATATGCATAGCTAAAAGTTAATTAAAAAGTGCACTTAAGAAGATTTCTTTATATATTCTATATTTCAATTTACCTTAAACACAATATTTTGTTCTATCATATATCTTAACGGAGCATGAATACTATAAACTCTTCTTTGTAAGATAAGTTTAATATTTGTTTGCATTTCCTCCTACTGTTAAATAGCAGAATTGATAGTTAGCCTACATTGACTAAATTTTATAAAACATTAAATATTAATAATTCTAACTTGGTTAAGTCTATTATGATGAGAAATAACAGGTAAGATCTTAGTTTTTATAGACTTAGCTTCATAGCGAAAAGTTTCATTAATGTTATAAGAATTTATAGCTGCTGTTGCGATTGTGGTAGGAAAGTCTGTAACTACAGTGGGAACTTTGAGTTTAATAAGGTTAGCTTATTCTCGTAGAAAGAAATAGTTATTAGATTCTAAAACAAAGATACCCACCATTTTTTACTCAGTAATTTAGATAGCTAAATTGAATATAATCAAATATCAAATAATTTAATTACTATAATTAACAGTAATACAAATATTAGTTGATCTCTCTGCACTAACTAATAAACTCTCTAAGTTATTACTTTAAATCAATTAGTTAATAATTAAGGTAATATCATGAAGCTAAATAAAAAATTCTTAATAAAAATACTTCATTTCTTTTTTTTTTTTTAAAAAAAAGTGAGAAAATTTAGAGCTGTTTAAGTACTGTATTTTTAAAGTAAATATAAGTAATTTATATTATAAGAATTCGATCAAAATATTATACTAAATAATCTTACTTAAAAAAAGCTGATGCTATAAATTTGAAAGCTAAATCAAATTTTTAGTTTACATATATTTATAACCTTCAATAACAATGATATATCCTCTATAAATTAACATATTCATTTAACCTACACCTTTTAAACATCCTCTAAAACAATACGAGCAGTACTACTTATCACTAAAAAAATTTTCTAGATTTGATTGCTTCTTTTGTTGAGTAATCAAGTAAGAAATGTGTTTTTTAAGTGAGTTGATAACCTTTGAATCATCATTTTCAATGTATAAGGCTTATGGTGGATTCAACAATAACAGCTTTATATTCTCCAAACTTTCCAATGCTGTTTTAAGTAGAATTTGAATTAAGGGCTCGCTTGTATCATCACCATCATCTTCTTGAAGAGCGGCTAAAATTTCTTGGTTTAAAGGTATTTCGGTTGTAGATAGGTCATTGTCAATTTTTATATATTCTGAGGTGGATAAAAGATCATTAGTATTAATTGGAAGTTGTTCAATAAGATAATCAACTTTGTTTTCATCATCCAGATATTCATTATATAATGAAGTATCTTCTTGAGGTAGATCATTATGATCTAATTCAACTAGAAGTATTCCTGTTTTACGCTAACAGTTTTTAATTGTCTCATATGATACTTTATCTCATGCTGATACACAATATTCAATTGCTTCCTTTATATTAACTGCTTCTATCTTGGTTTGATTGTTATGTGCAAATTCATATATATCCAACCAGTTTTGAATAAGAAAACATCTGTATTTAGTCTAAGAAAAAAAAAAATTAATATGCTGTATAGTAATTCTGATTATGTAATATACTAATTTTAAAAGAATTAATAATTTCAGCATCTATCGGTTGAAGATGGGCTGTAGTTTTTGAAAATAAAGGCTCTATTTTAATATTAGTTAACATTGTATTATCATCAAGAACATGGGTTAGAGCATTATCAATTAAAAGTAGTATGTGGCGATTTTGACGATACATCATTGAATTCAAGTCATTTATATAGTGGTTCCAAATAGATCTCTGCATCCAAGCAGTCTTGTTTCAGAAATATTCAACAGGTAGTTTTTTTTTATCAATATTGCGAATTGTATGTGGATTTTTATATTTATGGATAAACAATGGCTTTAACCTTTCTGATTCTGCTGCATTAGCAGTTAATAATATTGTAATCCTATCTTTTGCTTTTTTTATTCCTGAAACTGGACCTGTTGCTAATGTACGAGAAGGTTCTAACTGATAGTACAAACTTGTCTCATCATAGTTAAAAACATTCTCAAGCCTATAAAGCTAAATAACATTTTGCAATTTAATTCTAAATTCAGGTAGTTTATCTAAGGGAACACTATCTGCTTCACCCTACCACTTATATTCACGAATATTGTGGCGTAACTTAAAATTATATAACCAACTATTCGAAGCATTAAACTTATCCTCATTTAGTAATGCTGCAAATTTTCTTGCCTTATTTTAAATAAGATATTCTGTAAAGTTTGTTTATTGCCTATTACATATTCTACCCAAAGTGCAACTGCTGATTCAATTTCCATAAAAACTGGTACTTTGCTTCGCTTATAAGTTGCTTTATTTGAATTTGGATCGATGGATAACCAATAATCTGACTTCGCTAAAATTTTACTACATGTTGATATGCCAATACCATATTTAGCTACAAGTTCATAATTTTTAATACTGGGTTCATTTTTTTTGTAAACATAAAGCATGTCTTTGAGCATTGGTTAAGGTAACTCTTCTTTTCTTATGAGCTTTATCAGTGTTATTCTTTTTCTGCTTATTAATAGTTGGATTCATTATTAAAGAAAAGATAAATACTGTACTTTTGTAAAATTT